CAGGCGACAGCGTTCACATCTGACGCGATCATCATGACCTAGAGCGCTGCGAGCTCGCATACCAAGCGCCAAAGCGGACACAGCGGTGCCCCAGCAGGCACAGGTTCGTATTTCCTCCGCCAGATGGCAGCCACGTGCCGTCTCCGACGCCGTGAACGGCGTTTCTCAAGCCACACCGTCCGTGCTTTGGTAGCGATTATGAGCATTGCAGTACGCAGCATCATCGCCGACCCCGGTGCCTTCACCACAACCGCTCGCCTTTCGCGTTGCTCCTCACATCCTCGCAGGAACGCCGAGAGGACCCAGTCCTCGCGGCCTCCCGCAACGCCTCCCTGCCGCCTACGCAGAGCCCGTCCGCATGCCCCCTCATTCACGTGGCTGCACGCAGCGCGTCTCGTCCGCCTCCCAGCCGGCGCCTCCCTCCCAGTGCGCGAGCCGGTGCCGACATGCGGTATCACACGGCCTACACACGTGCTGATAATGCCCAGCCGCAGCCAGGCGGCGCTCTCTCACACCGCACTGAGCAGGCGCACGCCGCCATCTTCCACCGTGCGCGAGAGGTGGCGGTACCCGCCGTCATCCACATCCCACGCACAACGGCAGGGGGCGGCGCCCGGGCCGGGCCCCTGCTGCAGGCTATCCGGCGCTCGTCTGGAAGCCAAGCCGCCCGCGGAGGCAGTGGCAGCCCGCCCCGGCGGGTCAGGCGGCGATCAAGCCGTGTAACGGTACGGTCGGCCGGCGTCGGCGCCCAGAGCAGACAGCAGCACTGGGGCTTCGCTGCTCCCCATGCGCGGGAGCAGGCGGCGGTGCTGAGGCTTCGTTGCTCCAGCTACGGGGGAAGAGACGGCGCCGCTCACAGCAGCGTGCAGCGCGTGATTTTGGGCGGCGCCGGCTGCGGGCAGAGCACAGCACGGATGGCCTCGTCGAACACAGTCTTGAGCCCTTTCTGCGTGAGCGCCGAGCACTCGAGGTACTTCACGGCGCCGATTTCCTTCACCATCGCCAGGCCCTGCAGATGGGGTCAAACAAGGGTCAGGCCAGGTCACACGGGTCAGGTAAGGTCACACAGGTCAAGTAATACATCAGGTCCCACGGGTCAGGTAAGGTCGGGTCAGGTCACACGGGCCAGGTAACTCCTAGGTTAGGTCCCACAGGTCAGGCAACACCCAGGTCAGATCACGCAGGTCAGGTAACGTCCAGGTCATGTCACACAGGTCAGGTAACGCTCAGGTCACACACCAGCCATGAACACCCCGCAGGCGAAGTCAGACAATACTCAGACGGCGCTGCGTCCGGGTCGCAAGGATCACGCAGGGGCCGGGTCAGATCACAAAGGTCAGATCGGCATCCCACTGGCGACACGTACACAGCTGCCGGACAGCTGCCGCAGCCACAACGGCAGCGCCGTCACTCCGACCGCCCGGTGCCCGCCTACAAGTCCGTTTAAGAGCCCACGCGAACTCTGCACCCGGTCCAGCCGACACCCACCGGACGGCACGAGCGACGCCCGGAGACGGAGATATGTAACGGGACGCGAACACCGCACACGAGGAGCCGGCGTAAACGACACGCCGGCGGCGCCGTCTTCAGCTATTCGGCGCTCGACTCACACTGGTGTGACCACGTACCCAACACTCCACCGCACCCCTGTCTCAGAGATATCATTTTCGAATGTCAGAAGATACGACTGAATTCCGACAACTACTGGTCTGGGCCACATCAAACGGCGGCACACACATACGCACACGCACATGCACACAAGCACGCACGCACGCACGCACGCACGCACGCACGCACGCACACACGCACGCACACACACACACACACACACACACACACACGAGCAGACTAGGTCATGTCATGACGATGTCACGCCGTTCCGACGCGAACCGTGTCGGGCCCCCTGACCCTGGCCGCTGGGCCCCTGACCCTGACCCCTGGGCCCCTGACGGTGACACGACACTGTCCAGGGTGCAGTGCACGGCTCGACGGAGACAACCTCCTCCAGAAACTCACAGCATGCCATGCGCGACGGCGGTGTAGGCGACCTTCGACCCCATCGCCGCGCACGTTACGGTCGGTTGCCACGAGGCCCGACCGTCGCGAAGGGATCTGGATCTGGGTAGCTGGATCTGGGTAGAAAACGGACGACACACAAAACACAAGCCCCCACGCGGGCCCACACCAAGGCAGTGGGAGGCATGCCACACGCGTGCATCCCGTCTAGGGCTATCAATGTGCGCAGAAGACCGAGGGTTTCATGGTTTCAGATCCGAGTTTCCTGACGCGCAGTCGAAAAGACACTCGATAAAAAGGGTGCGACACTTTGGGGCTCCAGTTTGACACCGAACAAGCTGGGTTACACACCAGTCAGTGATAAAATACCACAATCTTGCCATAAGAAACCATGCGTGATATGCGATCGAGCTCCACTTCGTCACCACAACTAATCAAGACCAACAAGAGAAGACGCCAGGCATGCGACCAGTACCAGTAGCGCCACCTATGCCGCCTTTACCACGCCCGCCACGCCATCTATAGCAGACGGCAGGCGTGCCGTTCGGGCTTGCCCGGCACGGGGAACAGGACAGCCCGAATCGCCTCGTCAAAGACGTTCTTCAGGCCCTTCTGAGTGAGACCCGAGCACTCGAGGTACTTGACAGCGCGCACGTCTCGCGCCATGTGCAGGCCCTGCCGACGCACCGGCCCATAATGCTTGAACGCAGGCAACGGAGACACATGTCCATCCCCCAATTATCACCGGGAGGATCTCAATGAGTATAGGTGCTGGGCTCAACGTCAAACACGCTGTTCAAATCACTGCTTATTTGTGATGCACAAGAATCAGCTGAGGGCCACAGTAGGCAAGACAATGGGCTCAACGTCAAAGAGACTGTTCCAATGAATGGTGCATACTAACTTGTACACCCAGCCATGGGCTCCGTCCATCGCCATCGAACTGACAACTTGGACAAGATAAACCAAGAGAGATCTGCTCGGGCCGAATTAATGCAACATTGGTCACACTGAAAACGAACAAAAACGAGTTTTAAAATAGTTAGTTCATACCTGCCGGTTTTACCCGTATTAGGAAAATCACCTTTACGGAAAACTCTAAGAGTGAGGGAAATATCCATTTGATTCATTCAGGACCACACTGACACACCAAACCACCATTCGTTTCCACCACTCCAAAATCGTCCAAAATCTAACTGTAAGTCATTCCACCCCAGTGTTGAAAAGTAGGTGCGCACACATTGAGCCGAGGTCAAGGACGTCGACGTCGCCAAATGAAGACCCAAAACGAAAAAAAAATAATCAGGTTGCGGTGCTCTACCAGTGAGATTACAGGTGAAACATACTGCAGTTTGGTATGATTTGAAATATCTTCCCGATGAAAACGCAATATCAAGAAAAGTCGAATGGCACGCAAACAGCATTTCAGCACGCTTGAGCTATCGGTTTTACAAGACGATCTGCACATTTTACACTCATGGCTGGAGAACATGAACAGGATATACGGTGCCGTGTTTCAAGAAACTTAGATTCCTTCCAACGCCAACTTCAGCACGGACACGGCGCGACGAAGCGGTCCTATCAAATAAGACGTACGAAAGTGCATATAATATAGTATTAATGGCACCGTACAAAAGCACGTGGATGAACGGTACTTCGACGAGATAACTGGCGTTGCCAGAAATAATGTTTGGTGTCTGTCGAACCAATGAGAATAGTGTGCTTCCCCACATAAATCCAAGTTTACGATACACATAAATATAACAGACATGGAAAAAGGCGATACTGTTTTACGAAATATCAGAAATTGCACGTGTCTGCGGTGAACTGAACTTGGTTTTCAGTGACAAGAGTTTAGTCACACCCAGAACTGTGAGCTGCGGCAGTGATCACAACCGACCAAGTGCCTCCACCCCCCCCCCCCCCCCCCCCACCTCCCTACCCCCACCCCCTCCACCCACCCCCTCCTAGCCTCATCCCATCCACCCATCTAGGAAGACGGGGCCTTGACGACGGACCGCTGTGGTTGCGATCACCGCGTCAGTGCCTGAACGGCCGGCTCTGACAAGGCCCTGACGCCACACCTCAGACCGGGGCGGCACGCCTGGCTGGGCGCCCGGAAAAAAAACACGCCGCCTACGGCCGCCCACCCGCACAACAGCTCAGCTCCGTCTGCAGCATAACGCCAGCGCTGTCGCCGTCAGATATCCGGAACGAGACATACAACTCCCGAGCAGAGCGGTCGTGCAGCGCCAGCGGCGCCACGCGACGAGTCAAAAGGACTTCGGCAAAAAGCGGCGCGAAGGCCAGAGTAAAACACATGATTTGGGAAATGATTGAATGAATGAATGATTGATTGATTTGTTCATTGGTGTTTTCGGGCGCCTCGACTTGAATGAAAGGAATGATTCTTTGCCTGTGAGGTGCCATGGGGTGCTGGTCCACGGGCGCCCGAAGTCGAATTATCAGGCTGTGGCGTGTGCCGCATTTGTCCGCTCTGGGTCTGGCAAAAAGAGATGACAGTTTTATCAGCCTTATTTGTCGTACAAATACGGGGAAAATGGAGAGATAGACGTATTGCTATTTTGGCTACATGCCTTGTTCGTGTCGGTAAGGGGCATGTAGCCGAAATATCAATCCATCTTTTTCTCCATCTTCATGGCTGCTCCATCAAGGATAAGGCTATTTATACTGTCGTATTGACATTCGCAATGTTTCGTAACGAATGCACTCAACAACTCACGTAATCTCGCAAAATGTTTTATTGGCATGATACCTGAATTTTCAAAAACGCCTTGCGCGTGTTTGCGGTGCCGTCGCCGAGTTAACGGAGCAAACGCTCGTCCCATGCCCTTCTGCCTAGTTGTAAAGTTAATCAAACGCACCACTTCCGTGTAATATTTGCAAAATGAGGTGCGCGTGATAAATATTTTACAGCAATACATTTCGTGAAAGAAACTGCAACATATGATAAGTCGTAGCAAATGCACGTTGCAAATCGTCTTGCAGGGTCGCAGCTGATCGTCAGCTGTTACGGACCGGACCTTTTCGGCAATGACGTCATTCGTGGCTACGGCGTGTGTCACGTGCCGGTCTGCTCGGGGAGCCACCGGGTCAGGTGAGGGCCGCCGCCGGCCGCGCCCGCGCCGTCCTACTCACCGCTCGCAGAGGGTCTCCATCTGCTCACGCGATGCGCGCGTGCCCAACTATTCTGAGGTGTCGTTTATGTACGATTTGGAGTTTGCCCTTGGAGCGGGCAGTCTTGCATTTCGAGGTGGTGATTTGATGAGTTGTGCTGTTTACATAAACTGAACATTGTATCGGGGAATTTCTGGGTAGTCGCGGCTTGTCTTTCTTTCGTTGGGAACTACCTGGCTGGCTGTCAGTTGTTGATGATTGATATTACATGGCGCTTCGCCTGCTAAGCCTGTTAAGCGCCGACACTGGGCGTCGACCGTAACCTCGTAGATCCGGCCTGCTCCGCGCATGACGTTCCGGCCGGGAGCCATGTGGCGTCTGTGTGCGCCGAAGGTGGCCGTGTGAACGGTGCTGGTGTGTTTCTGGGGCAGCCGTGCAGCCAGCGGCGGCCACAGCCCCGGCCATCGCTCCGGTAGGTGTTAGGTTACACAGCGCTCGTGTGCACTGGGTTGTCACCCTACAACTAGGCTACGCGATTACTATGTGTGCCCATGGGAGCAGGTAGAGTCAAATGGTCTTCTTGTGCGCCTTTGGGTGGTCGTGCTGCGTTACCCAGTCGTTGTGCACACACGGAGGAGCGGTATTCTGTGTTCAGGGTATCCTCGGGTGACCGTGTCCAGTTACCCATTGACCGCGTGTTTACCCAGGATGGCCGTGTTTTATGTTCAGGGTGTTGTCGGGGGCCGTGTCCAGTGACCCACTGACTGCGTGTTTACCCGGGATGGCCGTGTTTTATGTTCCGGTTGTTCTCGGGGGGCCGCGCCCAGTGACCCACTGACTGCGTGCTTACCCAGGATGGCCGTGTTTTATGTTCCGGGTGTTCTCGGGGGGTCGTGTCCAGTGACCCACTGACTGCGTGCTTACCCAGGATTGCCGTGTTTTATGTTCAGGGTGTTCTCGTGGGGCCGTGTCCAGTTGCTCATTGACTGCGTGTTTTCCCAGGATGGCCGTGTTTTATGTTCAGGGTGTTCTCGGGGTGCCGTGTCCAGTGATCCACTGACTGCGTGTTTACCCAGGATTGCCGTGTTTTATGTTCCGGGTGTTCTCGGGGGGCCGTGTCCAGTGACCCACTGACTGCGTGTTTACCCAGGATGGCCGTGTTCGTACCGGAGTCGACTTCACAGCTGCAGAAACTGGCTTCCTGGTTCACGGGCCGCCGACCGGAGCTGGCCGGCCCGGTCACACTGGCGCTCGGCGAGGGCAGGGAGGGTGAGATGACCCGGTCACACTGGCGCTCGGCGAGGGCAGGGAGGGTGAGATAACCCGGTCACGCTGGCGCTCGGCGAGGGCAGGGAGGGTGAGGTGACCCGGTCACGCTGGCTCTCGGCGAGGGCAGGGAGGGTGAGGTGACCCGGTCACGCTGGCTCTCAGCGAGGGCAGGGAGGGTGAGATGACCCGGTCACACTGGTGCTCGGCGAGGGCAAGAAGGGTGAAGTGAAGTGCGTAAACGTGCGTTTCACCTGTCGCAAAAGAGTCCTGCTTTGGAATTCTGAGGACTTTCGGTTGGGACTCCAATTTTCAAGTGTTTTTTTTTTATGGAGCCATACGGGCGCCTTAAGCTGCAAAAATACAGTGGCCTTCGGCATCAGGCGGACACACCCATCTCCAGAAGGAGGGGGAGGGGGGGGGGGGCATGACCCCACTGGCCTCCTTTCAGCTACGCCACTGGCTGTGCGAGAGAGGCCCCAAAGCATCGAATTTTGATCGGTGCTAGTCCTTGATTGTTCCGCTTGCTTGTTTGGGTTGAATTTTGAATTTTGAAATCACCCATATCTAGTTAGAGTGAGGCAAACAAGACGCAGAATTGTGTTGCGACTGGCAAGCTTGTTAAAAACGGCGATTACGACGCATCACAGCATTATCATGGACCCTGTGTTCGTCGATTCTCCCTTGCTTGGTGGGTAAGTATGTGGCGACTGCCTTGTCGGCTTCCACGTCTTCGTGATGAGTTTTATGGTCGCTACACGCAGCTCTCAGCCATTGTTGAGATTTTAGAGAAACTAAAGCCACATCTTGAGACGTGGCAAGGTTATGACTTATGACCTACTAAGATTCAGTGCGAACCAAACAAGCGTCAATCGTGCGAAATTGGCATTCTGAACGCGCGCTCGTTCCGTCCAGCCCGTCTTACTGTCGGGGCCTGCACCAGTAGCAGTGTCGGCGTCCCAGCACATGGCGCCGCTCCCTCCCCCCTCCCGCCGTGACCCCCGCCAGTGACGCGCCGGCGCCCCCCTGACCGGGCGTCCCCTGCGGCAGTGATGCGGGTCCGGTCGCAGGGCGTGCTCACCTGCCGGCTGCAGGTGCTCACCAAGGACCTGCGGCGGCTGGGCTATGTCAGCGGGCGTCAGCCGGAGACGGACGGCGCCGAGGCGCGGCGCGCGGCGGCG